AGCCCGGCAGGTCGAGGCTGCGGTGGCCGGGAACGGCCGCTGCACTCCAGTCTGGGCGACAGAGTGAGACTCCAACTCAAAAAAAAAAGTCACTGAGTGGAAGCAATCCGGTGTCCACGGACAGACGAAGGGATAAAGACAATGTGGTCCAAATGTGGTCCACCCAAGCAGTGGAGTGTGATTCAGCCTTGAAAAGGCAGGGAATGCTGACCCTGCTACAACAGAGACGAACCTGGAGGACGCCGTGCTCAGTGAGACAAGCCAGACACAAAAGACAGATGCTGTCTGGTTCTATTTTTATGACGCCCCGAGTGTCACAGAGACAGAAGGTAGGTGGGTGCCAGGGCTGGGGAGGGCAATGGGGAGTGTTTAATGAAGTGAAGATGCTCTGGAACTTAGCTGCACAACACTGAGTTGACTTCTCTATGGACCAGCACACCTCAGGACAGGTAAGGTGGCAAATGTCACGTTATGTCTATTTTACCAAAATTTAATTTTTTTAAGTCACTGAGTCAGAAAACAGTTATGCTTTTGGAAATAACATGAAGAAATGTGAAAAGCCCTTAGCAACTGCAGCCGGCCTCATCCCAAGGCATGCCCCCCAGTGGATATGGGCCTCATGGGTATCTGAGAGGGTGGAGCTCCCACACTGAGAAGCACAGGGTGTTTCTGTTCTGTGAGAAAACAGGATCAAGGCAGCTCAGCGCCAGTGTAGCCTCGCCACTTTGCATTTCTAAAAGAAGATGCTTATTTCTAGAAACAAACAAGCATATGTAAACCAGAAGGGAAAGAGGGTTACTTTCCATTTTTACAGTGGAAAACAGCCTGAAGGGGTGGTTTGTAATACAGGGGACAAGGCACTCGATAGAAAAAGCGAGTATGTTTTAGCTCATAGACACACCCTCAGTGAGGATACCAATGTTTTCCTGTGATATTTAGAAAGCAGAATCAATGTTTTGGTGCCAATCTTGGCATCTGTGTGGGCTGGCAAGCCAGCCCAGTACTCCACCTCACTCAAACCAGATGTTAACAAGCCGAGGCTTCCATGAAGACATGACGATGCTTTGGGGCAATGACATCAAAGGTCCACAAGGAAGCCTCTAGCAAGGCTGCTGCCACCCACAGCCGGCTCAGGACACAAGCGGTTCTCAGAGATGCAGGGCTGAGAGAAGCTGCTGGTCTGGGCTGCGAGCGGGCACGAGTGGGCCTGGGGCTCACCCTCAGCTGGGACGGATGAACACGGAAGCGTCTTGCCTGGGATTCACGGAGCCTCCGACCACAGGGCTTCCCAAGGGGGAAACCAAACCGGGTTCTTGGGCAAGTTAGATGTCCACAAGCACCCCACCTGGAGACCACACTGGGACTGTGTGGGTGTCACGGTGCATGAACCAATGGGGCTCTCAGACAGGTGAGTAGTGGGGGACATCCGAGGCTGGCAAGGACTCTCACACTGCACTGTCAGGGAGGGCAACACTTGTTCCGGAAGGACAAAGAGGGACATGACCCAGATAGAGTGGCGAGTTAAGAATGGCAGCTTAGCCTCAGGATGGAAGCTTCTATTAGTCTTTCATTGACATTCGTTTACAAGTGGGTTTTTTTCTTTCTTTTTCCTGGGTGTTTTCAACTGTCACCTGGAAGACTGCCAAAGAGCAGTGTCCAATGGCAGAGAATCTGAACCTCTGGCCGCTGACAGTCCCTGAGGCTATAAATGCTACCCGCCTCCAAGAGGGAGGCTGGGAAGAAACAAGTAGGACTTGAGAGGCTGGGGTCACCAGAGGTGGCTTTGATCCGTCGCAGATTCAGAGAAGACAAAGATGCCACGATTCCACCATCAGCTGAGCACCCACCCAGAAGAACTGACCACCTGCCAACCCGGGGCTGCAAAGCAGGCAGGCGAGTGCCTACAACGTAGGATGAATGGCATGCCCTGCACAAGGGGAAGATGCCTCAAGTGGCAAACTCAGCAACCAGCCTCAAAGCCTGTCTTTCCTCAAAAACTGACACGAAGAACGGACTTGGAGACATGTCCATGACACCCCTCCCGTTAGAAGGGTGCTGGGCAGAGGTACGTGGGCAAACCAGGGTGCTGAGAAAAAGCCCTGACTTGGAGTTTCTGGCAGTTCCCGTGGTGTGAACACTCCCGTCATGCTAGACTCCAAATTACCGAAGGTTTCCCAACCAGCTTACAAGTCCCTATGTGATCATCAGTCTTGGAGAGTCAGTAAGACTGGCTCCGGCCAGGTGCAATGGCTCATGTCTGCAATCCTAGCACTTTGGGAGGCTGAGGTGGGAGGATCGCTTGAGGCCAGGCGTTTGTGACCAGCTGGGACAACCCAGTGAGACCTTGTCTCAGGTTGCCCCTGGGGCTAGATGTGACAGAGATCCGACCTTTCATGACGTAACCTCAGAGAGGTTGGAGTCTAGGGTATTTATTACCTCCTCCCTGCTAGACAGGTTGCCTGGGCTCTGACAAGATGCCAGTATTCTCATGATCAGACAAGAGGCAAGAAGGAAACGCGGTTCTAAGAACTCTGTGTCTCTTGGACGAAGTCATATCGGGCAAGCAAACTTAACACAAAACTTGGTAACTTGGGTAGAACTGTCCACAGAAAGCTCTGAACGCACCACTTTGGATGCACTGTTTTCAGGGACCTAAGCCCCTACCTAACCCCTCCTCTGCTCTGGCGCAGGCTCAAACGTCCAGGAGTAAACAGAACCCCTCTTCAAAGCGTGTATTAAGAAATGGAAACAAACCAGAAGGATGCTTTAAAAACTGTATTTGCACACCAAGACAAAGATGGCTTCCCCTCAGACCAATTTCTAGGCAACACGCCTGACGTCAGCGTTCCAAGAGTAAGTGACGCTCACGCCAGCTTCGCCGCGTAAGAGACGAGCAACAATATCCAGGTGGGTCACTGGCCGCCTGCTGCTGCCGCCCCTCTGCCGGCGGCTTCCGGGGAAACGTACCCCGTGTCCCACCAAAGGGGCACCGAAGAGGAGCTGCTCCCTGCACTGCCAGAAGCTGCGCCGGGACGATGCCGCTTGGGGAACCAAGAGCAGGCCAGGGAGGCAGAAACGCACACCAGAACAGCAGGGCAAAGCAGGAACTCACACACTCTCGAAGGCCGATCGCCCATCACTCAAACGGAGACCAGAAAGCGGAAGAGGGCCCAGGGCGCCCATGGGACAGAGTCTGAGAGGACAGGAGAGGCAGTGCCCAGCGTGGCCAGAGGCCAGAGGCAGGTGAGCTTCCAACAGCATCCTTGAAGCCACCCAGGAGGCAGGAGCCTTCCCGGGAGCTCTTGGGCCTGAAAACTTGGACACTGAAAAAAGAAACTCAAGGAATGAACAGAAGGAGGTGAGTCTCGCGCTTAGAGTGCGAGCTGTTATTATCATGGGGCAGGACCCAAGACATAAACAGGCCAGGAACAGGAGGACTGGGCGCAGCCCGGAAGAATCGCAGAGGGGTTGCAGGCGCACAGCACCACAAGGCGTCAGACCAGCAGCCCGTCCCGTCTGCTCCCCAACAGCATAAAGATGTACTCATTGCCAGATGGCACTGGAAACCGCATGTCCCAGCGCAGGGTGACAACAGCACACTCTGGCATGGACAGGGAGTGATGACCTGAGGAAAATGTCGCTCCTGTCTGGGCCCCGGGGCTCCAGAACCCAAAGAAATCTAAGGGTTGACAACCCCCACCCTGGACCTGATGCAGCCACAGGGCCACGAGGTGGAAACACAGTGCTGAGGTTTTGAACACAGCCTGATCTGCAGCCAACACAGCAATGCCCTGGAGGGCCGCCTGTCATGTATCTAGAGCTTAGCAACACATTTGTTCCTCAAGGTGCTCCCTGCGGAAACACAACGCACACACATATACCTCAAGTTAACAGCGTGTGGGGTTTCCACAATGAGCTGCAATTGATCCAATTTTGACTAAGTTCAGAAACCCTCTGAATTTGGGTAGTGGGCCCTGTGCAAATGCTTCCAGAGGATAGAGGGCTTCACAAAGGGGTTTGCAAAGGATTCAGGCCTATCTTGGGCTTTGCTCTGGACGCCAGGATGGAGCATGGTCACCCACCCTGGCTGCAGGACCCAGTGCGAATGTGCAAAAGCAGCAAAACTAGGAAACAGCCTGTGTGTGGACGGACCATGGCCAACCACGGACAGCTCTGGTGGGGGCTGGAGGCATTCTCTTCACACTGGGGGACCGGAGCCTGGGATTGCAACATGCTTATTCAACCTTTACCATGGCTCCAAAACCGCCCCTCTCTGCCAGGGAGACGCCTTCGCTGAGGCTGGCCAGGTCTGTCAGGCTGGCACCATGGGCCCCATCCAGTGCCTGGTCACACTGCTCAAGGCTCCTGTGGGCTTCCTGGCGGCTCTCATGCAGCTGGGAAAGCTTACTTCTTGCCTGCATAACAGAGACATCACAGCATCAGAAGAGCACATCAGGTGGGACCTCTGCTCCCCTCCCAACTCCGGGCAGTGCCCACGGTCGGAAGTGGAGCAGAGAAGCCAGTCACCAGAAATGAGACAGCACGGCACCATGACATGAGCTTTCTTGCTACCCCAGGAGTCCCTCAGTCTTCCTGCAGCCTTGTGACATCACAGCAGCTCTGTTTGGCAGAAGGTGCTGGCTGCGGCCGCACATGGACATACCTGGTTGATCTCATCCTGCGTGGACCTCAGAGACTTGATGATGGTCTCCAGCTGGGCCCGTCCCGCCTGGATGCTCTGCTCCAGCTGCGTCTCCTCCTGCTGCAGCCGAGTCAGCTCCGACTTGGCCCGATTCAGATCATCCTCCTGCGACTTCAGGTCAGATTCCTGAGACTGGATCTGTGTCTTCAATGAGGAGATCTAAAACAACATGCCAGAGGGACTCAAAATGCGGGCTGAAACAGTGCTCTGCCAGGACCTTTCGCTCCCATGAGACAAGTCTCCCAGGGCAGCAGGTGCTGCGCCCACCCAGACACGTGGCTCCTCACAGGGCACTCCCCACAGCCCAGGATGAGACGCAGTGACAAGGCACACAGGCTCACCCCGATGCGGCAGACACTGCTCTGGAATGGGAAGGGACATGCCTGTGAGCAGCACACAATCTGTCCCCAGGGCCTGAGTGCTCACAGTCTACTAACGCACGGCCTTCCTGGTTTGAGCCAGATGCCCAGAGGAGAGAGGTACCCTAGGACCCCCATGGTGTGGGGTGCAGGCTAGGGGAGATCCTCCACAGGTCCATGGGGACCAAAACCATTCACTTGTCAAACCCGGTCTCTAGGAACAGGCGGGTGACCCCAGGTGACATTTCAAAAAAACTCCACCAAACCAGCAATGTTCTAGCATTCTCTTTCTAGGTAACCAGAGTGCAGAGGAGCCCCTCAGGCCTCACCATCTGTGTCTCATCCTGGCACTTCTGCCGGACGTCACTTAGCATGTCGCGCAGCTTGGCCTTCTGCTGGTCCATCTCGTCCAGGCGATCTTGGGCATCTTGCTTCTGGGCTTCGAGCTCTTGCAAACTGCTGGTTTCACGGTCTAGGTCATTTTGTAATTCCTAGGGAGGAGTCACAGGGATGCATGTGAGGCTGGTAAAAACAAGGCATGACCAAGATGACAAGACTGCAACTTAGGCTGGATCCTGGGGGACCCATGCACACACCTGCAACGTGCATATCTCAGGTGTGCAGCCCCAGCCCTGTCCCTCACCAGCTCCCTCAGCAGAGACTCACTGAGGCCTAAAAGACCAGGTGCTGAGAAGGGGTTGGGTCTGATGAGAACCCCCAGTGACTCCCCAATGATGGACAGGAAAGACACCACCCACAAAGCAAACACATTGGGACAAGAGGTCCCAAGGACCCCCGGGTAGAGAAGACATCCTGAGAAGCAACATTCAGGGTAGACACACCAGGTGTGCAGGTGCCGGCCAGGTGACGAGCCAGAGGCCCAGAGCCCAGTGGAGGGAAGGTGCAGCCCCAAGTGGGGAGAGGCGTTGTGCTGCAGCTGGGGCCAGAGAGTGGATGGCATCAGAGCCACATGCTGCCCCAAGGATGTGTGTGTGGGAAGCAGGGGCACAATGACTCCACATCTAAAGCTCCCTCCACCCCAGAAGATAGACCAGCCCTTTGCCTGATGGGTCCACATCTAGGAAAGGGGCCTTAGAGGTACAGGATGCATGTGAAGACACCATTTCTGTGACAGCAAGATCATCGACAACGCCAATTTCCACTGGGATTGCCTGGAACTTTCCGGCACAGCCCACACTGAGGGATGCCTCAGGCACCGCATCCTCCAAGGTACGATTAGAAGTAAGCAGGACTTGCGGCAGGTACACGGGTACACCACACTCCTGCCATCAGGAAGGAGGGTCCACATGAGGCGCCCCCACCTTTCTGGAGGCCCCACAGGAGCTAAGCGGCACCTCTGGGGAGAGGCACCTGAGGAGAAGGACCTCTAGCCTTGCACTGCACGTCTACCTTTACAACAAAAGACATGCATGACGACTGCAGAAATAGCAAACGGTTGTGGTGAAACGCCTCCCTCCACTGTGTGGAGTGTGCCCCGACGAGTGCAGGGATAGCATGGCAAAGCTTGGGGGTCCAAGAAGAGGAGGCAGCAGGGACCTGGGCAGGATGGAGGCAATGGGAGTGAGGGCAGGGTGGATGTGAGGGCAGTTGTGGGGTGGCGAGGCTGCATCCCAGGGTAGCCTGGGCTCTAGGAGGCTGGTACCATGAGACAGAAGAGCTGGAGGCAGTCCAGGGTCTCTCTACTCTCCACCATGGGGACAAAAGCCTCCTGGCTCTTGGTTCCCCACCTGACTACCAAATCATGCAGGAAACTACTTTGGGGAGTAGAGAAGCTGGGGTCTCTGCTCCCCAAACTCCCTGCCCCTGGCCTTTAATTCAAGGAGTGGATCTGGAGGGAACAATCACGGGGTCACTTCTGGACAAAAACAGAATAGACTGAACTTCACCACATTAAAACTTTTGTGCTTCAAAGGACACTATCAAGAACGTGAAAAGACAACCCACACAATGGGAGCAGACCCCTGCAAGTCAGATCTACCAAGGGACATTCTACTCAAGAAACTACTTAAAGCGCTCTTACAATCAGTTATGAAAAGACACCCAATAGAAAAGCTGGCAAGGTATCTGAACTGACTTTCTCCAAAGATACACAAATGGCTAATGAGCTCATGAAGAGGTACTCAACGCTAGCAGGAAGGCACCCGGGATGTGCAATCCAGCTACGGTGAGGCCCACTCCACACGCCCTGGGACAGCCAGCACAGGGCGGCAAACAGCAAGTGCCGGCAGGCTGTGGAGACCTGGAGTCCAGGCATGGTGCGTGGGAACATAAGACGGCATGACCACCTGGGAAACAGGTGCTCCTGGTCAGTCTAACAGTTATCGCAGGGCCCACATTTCGCTCCTAGGTGCACACCCAAGAGATGTGAAAGCAGATGTTCACACAAAAACTTCCACGCAGTATTCCTAGCAGCAGCATCACAACAGCCAGAAGGTGGGAAAACCCGAAATCCTAAACCCTATCAACAGATGGAGGATAAACACAGCACGGCCCTGCCACAGACTGAGGACGACTCGGTCACAGAAAGGAGCAAGGCGCTGGCACAGGCCATGGCAAGGACAGCCTCAGACACACGGCGCCAAGTGAGAGAAGCCAGACAGAGAAGCCGCATCGTGCGTGACTCCATAGGCAGCAAAGTCCAGAATGGGCACATCCACAGAGGCAGGAGGCAGACTGGTAGTTGTCAGGGGCTGGGAGTGGGAGGAGGAGAGAATGGGGAATGAGCGTTAATGGTACGGGGCTTGTTTTGGGCTGATGGAAACATTCTGGAACTAGACCAAGGTGATAATTAAGCAACACAGTGAATATACTCACAACCACTGAACTGTATGCTTTAAAAGAGTACATTTTATGACAGGTGAAGAATACAGTCATCCCTCAGTACTGGCAAGGGACTGGTACCCAAATCCTTGGATGCTCGAGTCCCCAATATAAATGGTAGTATTTGCATGTAACCTACACTCATCTTCCCACGCACTTGAAATCATCTCTAAATCACTCATAATACCTAATACAATGTAATAGCTGTTATACTGCATTGTCTTATTAATTTAGATTATTTTTTATTGTTTTTTTTTTTTCCAAATATTTTCGATTTGCAGTTGGTTGACTTAATAACCCAGATATGGAGGGCCAACTGTATCTCAATTTAAAAAAAAGAGAAGCCGGGAGAGAAGAGGGGCACACTTCATCAATAAGGGTGCCTGATCTCAAACCAGGTGAAATGGGGACCAAAGGGAGGCCCAAACTTTACCTGTACAATGATCATTTGTATACCCAATCCTGAATTGTACATCACATCTTTAAAATTTTTAAAATAAATACATAAAATAAAAATAATAAAAATTTTTAACTAAAAAAAGAAGCCCTGTCCATGGCTACAGGTGACTTCTAAAAACTCAGGGAGAAGCCCTCACAAGTCCATGTCTCTACCTGGTGCAGGCTCCCGGTCCTCCTGCCACTAACGCAAAAGCAGACTCAACCCACTGGGCCACGCCTCACCTGGACCTCGCTGGTTTTCTGCCTGATGGCCTCCTCCTTATCTCTAATGTCCTGTTCCAGCGAGTACTTCTCTCTGATCGTTGAAAAACATTTTAAGGAAACACAGAATGAATAAGAACTCCCAAGACCCGATTCCACGCATCCCACAAAACCCACCCATGCTAGCCCCTCTGCTGGCAGAAGTGTAAGAATGACCCCGGCTGCTTGCCCTGTCAGCCCCCTTTCAACTGAGCGTGGACCTGAGATCAAGGAAGGCACCGCTCCAACACACTCACCCTCTATAGCCAGAGCATGTCTCTACCTGGCAGCCAAGAGGCTATCAGAGACACCTGTGCTGACAAGGACCAAAGCCCTGCTGACTGTGAAGGTGAAGGGCTGCAAGAGGTGGAGCGCGAGTGGCCTGGAGGGGAGGCCTTTGGCCAACACCCTGCATTGAAAAGGAGACTTTGGAGCCTGGCTGCAGGAAATGGAGTGAGCCTGGAAGTGGGTTCTCACCAGAGCCCCATAAAGAGGCCAGCCCAGCTGACACCCTGACCTCTGCCTCAGGAGAACCCGGGCCCACCTGGACTTGTGTACCTCTGTGTGGTTTTGGTGATGTTACATGGCAAGAGAAACCAACACTACACCCTGTGTCCGCAGGGGAACCTAGCCCTGCACGACAAGGCCCCTCTGGGACACTCAGCCAGATGGGCGCCCATGGTCATCGAATGCTCATGTCCACCGTCTGGTAGCCAGCAGTGTCTCGCCCTCTTACGCTCAGCTCTTCACGGCTGTCTGGAGGCACAAGGAGCATGCACTCCAAACGAGGGATACTCCAGGCAGCCTGCTCAAGGTGGCTGCAGGTCCAACTCCCCCATATGGTGCCCACACACGCTTGCCTGTCACCTTGTAGGGAACAAGGCTCCTGGCTGCCCGAGGCCCCCGGGCCTGACTCAGATACCAGCGGCCCCCCTGAGACTTTGAGCCTTGTGTTATAGAGGCTCCCTCCACACTTGGCCTCCTGGTCCCGATTCTTGGGCCTGCTCAAGCTCTAGGACACGGGCCCTCTGTCCTCCCAAACACCTCGGCCTTGTTGGGTGCACATGCTGACCCATGGTTTGGGAGACACGGCCCTGGGAGCCAGGACGGACGGGAGCCATCACTGGGCTGAAGGTGGAGTGGGAGGTCTGGCCCACGTTGAGGCTGAGGCTCTGTGACCAGGTACCCCCTTGACTCCCTCAAGTCCTAACCTGCCTCTGCTCATCAGGGCTGCTGACAGTTGGGAAACAAGTCCAGCAGGCCTGGGGAGGCTATGCCTCTGGAAACAACCCACGGACCCTCTGGCCACGAGCAGGGCCCAGGCCACTCTGGCATGGAATGGCCCTTTTCATTTTCAGGCAAGTCAACACCCCCTTTCCCAACGAAGGCAAAATGCCTTTGGGCTCCTCTGTCTGGTACCCCCTAAATCACTGGCATCCATCTTCCCCCAGAATTAGCAGGAAGGAGGTTGCTGCTTCTGAAGAGGCTCTGTGGGGGGGGTCTGGAAGTGATGTCTTTCTTTATGCTGTACTCTGAGAGAGCAGGCAGTCTGTCTACAGCCTCACAAAGCATGTGAGGAAACTGAGGCAGTGGTCACAGGGAGTAGGGCCAGAGACCTGGACGTGGGGCCCTTTCACATCCCTGCGGCTCCGTGCCATGGGTGCTCTGTCCACCCAGGACAGCCAGGCCTTCTTGGTACTAAAGGGGGCTGTTGCATGAGGCTGAGACCACAGCTGCAGTGGGTTCAGGCTGACAGGGACTCGAACAGAAGGTCATTCTCCCAGTCGCTGAAGCCAGGTCGGGAGCCTGAAGAATCTGTGTCTGTCCTTCCTTCTGAACAACCCCGTGAGAATCATGCTTCCATACATGTCTCTGGTATTCACAATTCTCAGGTACACTCGAGCCCTGAGGGGAGAGCCATCCCAACATACCTCTGGAGCTGCGCAATCTCCTGGCTGATGTCATCCAGTTCCTTCACGCCAGTGAACTCCCCAGAGCCCAGAGAGCTTGAGCTGTCCTGGAATCAAACCCGGGCTCAGATCACTGACAGCAACTGACACCCCCGGCAGCAGGGAGGAGCAGAGCTAAGTCACCCTAGGCCACAGTGGGGGGAGACCAGGGACCAAGTCAGCTCTTAGGCCACAGGGGGAGGCAGCAAGAGCACGGCCAGCAGCCTGGGGACGAGTCGGGCCGCCCAGCCACTCAGGCCCTAGAGGAAGGCCAGACTCTGGGACTCACGCGGGCCACCAGCGCCCCCTCGTGGCAGGAGGTAGGAGGGATGTGAACACGACCAGGGTGTGGCTGGAGTCTACTCACCGGGATGGGGGTGCCTCTCTCAGAGGGGGGGATCATGTCAGGTGAGAGGACTTGTGGGGGGTCGATGCCTTTGCTGACCTTCTGTTGAATGAAGTGCATAGCTAACGCAAATTGGTCTTTGCTTAACTTCCCCGTCTGCCTCGTATCGGCCAGGGCCCTGGGAAAAACGCAGGGAAGCTCATTACACATCACAGCGCTGGACTTGCCTATGAGGTGGACACGGGCCCCTGATCCCACACTCTTTAAACAAGGACAACAGAAGCCACAGCGGGGCATGGCGGCCAGCCCCCGCTCCTCTTCTGTTTAACATTCTGTTCCTGGGAAGCAGGCCCAGGCCCCACCTCCAGCGCCCCTACCCAAGGGGGTGTGAAACAGGGGTTCTCCCCAGGCAAGGGAAGCTCTGGCCCCTCCCCACAGGCTGTGGAACCAACCACAGACGCCCTCACAAGTGTCCAACAGAGGGACGCAACCAGCTCTCCCCTCTCGGCTATCTTGTGTGGGAGGTGGGCTGTGGGGCTGCACTAAGCGGAGACCGGCCTCCCAGAAACACGAGGCTGTGGCCCTGCATCCACACTCTCCAGTCTTCAGCCTGCTCCTGCAGCCCTACACTATCCGATGGCCTGAACTCCCCGTTTTCAACAAGGACAGCAGCAGCATTGCGGGTTGTCCGCAGGGTGGGGGCGGGAAGCTCAGCAACCAGTCTCCCTCTCCTGCTGCGGGCTGAATGTTTGTGTCCTCCCAGATCCCTGTGCGAAATCCTCACCCTCAACGTGATGGTATTAGGAGGTGGGCCTTTGGGAGGTGATGGGGTCATGAGGGTGGAGTCTCCCATGAGGGATCAGCACCCTTACAAGAGAACTCGCTCTGCCCTTTCTGCCACGAGGATGCAGTGAGAAGGCGGCCATCTGCAAACCAGGATGTGAGCCCTCACCAGCGCAGGTGTGCCAGCACCTTACCCTTGAGGGGCAGTCCCCAGAGCTGGGAAAGACGCCTGCTGTTTAAGCCACCCATTTACAAGGCTCCTGGCTGCCCGAGGGCCCCCGGGCCTGACTCAGATACCAGTGGCCCCCTGAGACTTCGAGCCTTGTGTTATAGAGGCTCCCTCCACACTTGGCCTCCTGGTCCTGATTCTTGGGCCTGCCCAAGCTCTAGGACACGGGCCCTCTGTCCTCCCAAACACCTCGGCCTTGTTGGGTGCACATGCTGTCCCATGGTTTGGGAGACACGGCCCTGGCAGCCAGGACGGACAGGAGCCATCACTGGGCTGAAGGTGAGTGGGAGGTCTGGCCCACGTTGAGGCTGAGGCTCTGTGACCAGGTACCCCCTTGACTCCCTCAAGTCCTAACCTGCCTCTGCTCATCAGGGCTGCTGACAGTTGGGAAACAACTCCAGCAGGTAGCTTGCCACAGCAGCTCAAATGAACTGAGACCCTCCTTCAGTGCCCAAAAGGTGTTACCACAGGGCACAGCGCATTGCACAGGACAACCCTGGCCCACAGGGCTCTCTGGTGTCCTGAGACAGGACAAGCAGCATGCATACTGAGGCACACAGGGTCTTGGGGAGTTTGGGCGAGAAGCCCCACAGCTCTCAAGGCAATCAAGGAGTCAGCAGCGAAGGGAAGGAAAGCCTGGCGCTGCGGGATGCGGCCTGGACACCCGTGGAAGCTCTGCCTCCAGCCACACCACTCCCTCAAAACGGGCTCCCGTGCCACCTCATGTGTAGTCACTGCAGAAGCTGTGACAGCTGGGAGGACCGGGACATTCCAGCAGACAGAGCCACCTGTGAAGGGACCTGGAGAGCGACGAGATCTCGGAGCGTTGCTCGACAGGCTGTGGAAGATGCCTCGCTGTGGGCAGTTTGAGGTTGAGGACAAGACTGTTTCACACCACTGGCCTCTCAGGGGTCCACAGCCAGCTCCTGGGCGCCTGCTGCCCCTCCCCCCCGCCTCTTCTTTGCTCTACCTGCCTCAAGGAGCATCGTGTGTGGAGGGTTCCAAGAAAGAGGATTTACTCTGCCAGCATCCAACCTGCAAATGCCAGACCCGTCGGGAAGGAGCAGCCACCACAGGGGCAAGGTCTCTGCCCCAGGACGCTGCAATCCCTCTCGGCAGCCGTCTCCACACAGGCTGTACTCCACCCCTCGCCACCAGCAGATACACCTTGACTGTGGCCTAACTGTCCCAGAGATCGCCGTCCATTACAGCCCTTGCCTCCCTGAGTGGAGCAGCCCGCCCGTTCCTCCTGACCCAGCTAGAGTTGGGATTTCACCATGTCACACGTCAGGCACACGCTGGCCCACACAACACGGACTCCTCTCCTTGGACGGCCCCTTTACGTGGCATTCAAGGCGCCACCGCACCATCCCAGAGCTGCATGTGCACACTACTCGGGACAACGAGGCCACTGGGCTTCACTGGCTTCTCAAGGGAGCCCTGGGTCGAAGGGGATGAGAGCCACTGTCCCTGGCCAGAGGGAGACAGCTCCGCCATTGGGTGCTGGTGGGGGCCAGCTGGCTCTTGGGCCCAGGAACGCACTTCATAGCGGGGACATCTGTGGATAGTCACTAAGGATGGTCACTTCCCTTCAACCACCAAGTTGCATACTGAGTCCAATGTTCTGCTCGGGGGGTCCGCCTTGAGACTGCATGGAATCCTCTCCTCTCTGCACTTCCCAAGTGAGCCCCTTCCTCAGGCCCCGGGCTCCGAGGACAGGCTCAAACGGGAGCGTCCCCCCAGCTGCTACGGCAGGAACCTACCCCTGGAGGCTGGCAGGCGGAGGCTGGCTCCAGGCCTGCCCTGAGGCACAGAGGGGGGGTCTCGCCCTCCCGCCAGGAGCTGGGCACCAGCCTTCCAGAGCAGGGCCACCGAAGGGAGGTGGCACAACCTGATGCACAGGCCTGGGCTGGAGCCTCTGAGGCTAGGCCCTGCTAGAAGCTGCGTCACCAGCAAGAACCAGCCAGCTACTCAATCAAGGGGCCTGGAGCACTGGAGAAGGACCGGGTGGGACCCCTGAGGATGGCCTGACCTGCCAGGATACAGTGTTATCACCAGGAGAGTGATAACACCAGACACAGTGGAAGCCTAGACACAACGCAGCACCCCCTGCCCACCCTCACCTTACCATATGTGTGCCAGAAGGCTCTGGGTGAGGCCAGAGTGCATGAAGATCTCCTTCACCTCCTGGCCGCTCACGTAGCCGTCCAGGTCCAGGTCAGTCTTCAGGAATATCTCGTCAAAACGCATCTTATCAGTCACTGGCACCACCCAGCTCACTGCAGGCTGAAACGGCATTTCACAAAGGCTAATCTGGAAGCTTTCTGGATTGCTTTTCACATCTTTTTTTTTTTTGAGTTGGAGTCTCACTCTGTCGTCCAGACTGGAGTGCAGTGGCCGCTCCCAGCCACTGCAGCCTCGACCTGCTGGGCTCTGGCGATCCTTCCGCCTCAGTCTTCCGAGTAGCCGGAACGACAGGCACGCGCTACCATGCCCGGCAGATTTTTTATTTATTGTAGAGATGAGGTCTCGCCAAGTTGCCCAGGCAGGTCTTGAACCCGTGGGCTCAGGCAATCCACTCACTCAGCCTCCCAAAGCGCTGGGATTACAGGCTGAGCCACCGAGCCCGGCTTCACATGCTTTTTACAGGCGGGACGATTAAAGTGCTCTCACACACAGGTGGCATCAAACTTCACATGTGGACAACTGCAGGAGCCCAGAGGGCAGACAGGATCCACATTTGGAAAGTGGGGAAACTGAGGCTGAGAGAGGCTGATATCAGCCCCATCGAGTTGTCACCCTGTGCTCCTTCTGTTTAGAGGGAGGTAAGACCCTGTGGTCTGTCTACCAACAGCCCTTTCACCCCCACCTGGGGTGTGAAGAGAGGCTTCTTACACACAGGGAAGACCCTGTGAAGTATATTTTGGAAGGACCATCTCCTGAGAGCCAGCCTGGTCCATAGCCAGCCTCAGAGAAGTCTTTGGCTTCTCTGCAGCCTGCTGGGTGTTCCAAGCTTCCCTAGACCATCCTTCTACATCCCTGACCCCATTCCCATTCCCCAACCAAGATCCCCCCCCAAAGTGTCAGTACACGCACGTCACTGACAAGTAACAAATGGGACCCATTACCCATGAGGACCACTATCCACAAGGAGGGCCCACCCACAAGGACCCACCACCACCCACGAGGACCCATCACCCCCCACAAGGACCAGGAGGGCCCACTCCTACCCATAAGGACACACCACCACACACGAAGACACATCACCACCCATAAGGACGTACCACCACCACCCACGAGGACACACCAACACCCATGAGGACCCACGACCACCCACAAAGACAAGCCACCACCTGTGAGGATCCATCACCACCCACGAGGACCCACCACCACCCACAAGGACACACCCCACTCACGAGGACATACCACACACGAGGAGGCACCACCTAAGAGGGCCCACCACCTCTCAGGCAGAAGGAGCTGAGAGCTTGGCGCAGGACAAGGTTCACAGCCGCTGGGCCATCGGCTGCCCGTGTGGCCTCCACCTCCTGCTCACTGTTACTTAGGAGGCAAATGACACTGTGGGTCAACCAGGCCTGGCCACCTCCTGGTTCAGAGACCCTGAGGCCCAGGACATGTGAAGCCAGGCTCCTTCTGGGGCTGACTCTGCTGTGTCACCTTGGGCCTTCAGCCCGCTTGTCACAAGGCTCACAGCTGTTTCTGCCCTGGATTCTGGAGACACTGTTTTGCGTTGGGTTAATTTTTAAAAATAATTAATATTTACCCAAGACTCCTTTTAAACAGTTTCATCACAGCAGCAACAAGAATATGAACCTAAATGAGCTGACCTAGAGGGTGTGGGATCTGGGCAAGAGGATGGGAACCCGGGCCCAAGGGACAGCCCGCTACAGCACTGCGCCACCAAGGAGCTGCCGCCGTTGCCGCCTGCCCCCCTTCGGTGTCCCGCCGCAATGCTGGAAACTGCCCCCTAAGAGCTGATCCCGTCGGGTAAGAACGGACTGCTCTAAGAGGTGACAACCCAAAGGTGTCACAAGTGTCACGGAAGAAAAGGGACTTGTGGCCAGCCTGGGAGACAAGGGGCCGGCGCGTCCACTTTCTATGAGCATGTCTCCCACCGTATCCAGATCCAGCGGGATCTGGAGGTGAGCACCGTGGATGTGGAAACAAGCCTGGGAAGTCAGCTTGACCCAGACCACGGCAGCCACGTGGCCCAGACCGGGCTAGTCCCGGGCTCTCGGGCAGGGAGTAGGTGTGGTTCAGAACAGCAAGGAATGTGTCAAAACCTATGGGCCTTCCATGACCAAGGCAGATTTGGTATCTGACACATACAAGAGACAAAATTAATTTTAAAAAGAAAGAAGAAAAAGTTATGAACCTGCTCAGCCAAAGCTTATGTGGTGTGAGACAGCCAAGTCCCAACTATGGATTTCATCACATGGACTGTGTAGGCTGCTCGAGGCCTGTGGTGGGTCAAGGTCAGGACTCTTGAGGAGGAAGGGTCCAGTGGCCTGAGCCAACCAGGGTCACACAGAGGTAAACAGGCAGACAGGCTGAGCTGAGGGGGAAGGGTTTCTGGGTCCTAAGAAGTCACAGCTCTGGGATGACAAGAACCTAATGCTGGTGCAAACAAAAACACTGCCTGAACTCTGGGAGCTCAGGGTACGCTGGCAGCATGACTGATGTCAACCTGACCACAAACCACCCTGGGGCGGCCCCCACTGTGGCCACCGCAGCTCCGAGTGAGGGATACCAAGGCCCTGGGGCTGGATGTGGCTACCCAGCCATGAAGGCAGAAGTGGACAGCCCCTCAGAGGGAGCCAAACAGTCCAGTCTGGAGATGAGTAAAGTGGGGGAGGGAAGCACATCGATGGCAGGTCCCTGGAAACTCCTGTTTTCATGGCTATGATCCCACCAGCTGCCTGCTCTTGGGGAGGAGCTGCCCCCTCCCATTTGCTCCAAAGTGGGCCACTGGTAAGATTGGTCTAGTTGGGGGTGGTCAGCATGCTCCCAGTCTCTGATGAGACCATGAGACTACCAGGGAGAGGTCATGAAACTGCTACCCTGGGCTCTCCAGGGAGCTCAGTCCACCAGTTCCTGTGGATAAGACACGCCTCTTGACCTGACTGTCAGTACCCAATAAGAACCCTGGCAAGAGACACCTACTCAGAAGGCCAAGGCGGGAAGATCGGTTAAGGCCAGGAGTTCAAGACCAGTCCGGGCAACATAGCAAGACCCTGTTTCTACAAATACATAAATAAATAGCTTGAAAGATTTTCTGCTGACACAGAGTGCTAAGCCAACTCCGAAAACAGCTCGGGCAGGTTCTAAGCAGCCCAGCCTTGGCCTCCTCTTTGATCCCACGCCGCTGGTCCCTGGCTCACCCTGCCCTTCCTCCTCCTTCTAGAATGTGCCAGGGGCTCCCGCATCAGAGCCTGGTGAGGGCTAGACCTTGATGGCTTCTTGTCACTCAGGCTCCAGCCCAATGTGACTTCGTCAGTGGCCTTCTAGCTGGCCCACCTGCAGCAGGCCCTCCCACCCCAGCACCTCCAGGCTAGCCACCTGCTTACATCGGTCTGGCTTTCCTCAGTTTACTGATCTGCTTGTCATCTACCCTCTGTGGAGGGCAGAAGCCCCACATGGCCACTGGGCGACCCGGACCCCAGAACGTGCCAGGCGTGGCTGGGCTGGGCGAAGAGCCCACTGGGCCACCTGGACGCTGGGCTTGTTAAGTTCATCACGGGAAGCTCCTGGAGCAGAACTGGACACCGTGGTCCCGGCGCCCCCCCAGGTTGGGGGGGGGGGTGCGTCGGAGCCACGTCAGGCTGGCAGCCTCTGGGATCCCTCGGGTCCCTCTTTCAGACCCAACGGCATGACACGTGTCCCACAGTCCACTTAACAGCCCCACAGAAGTGAGGCAAATCGAACACGCAACTTCACAGACACGTCATGTGCAGAAGAAATGCTGAACAAGCCTCTCTCGTCTTGTCCCCACTTCTTGCACCCACAGTCAGGCTGGTGACAAAGCAGGATCTAGACGTGGCGTTCCGCCACCTCCTGCATGCTTCAGAACGCCCGAAAACCGCCCTCTTCTGATGAGCCTATCACGCTGCTACATTTGCCAGACTCAAACTGTCGTTTTGACACGAGGTGAGGCTGTGGGAGGAATGGAGCCACCACGTCCTCCCAACACAAGGCAGATGCCCCCTCGCTGCCCCATCACTTACCACAGGTGTGCTGGGCGCCTCCCTGTAACAGGGGCAGTCCCAGGCGCCAACATCCCCACCAAACACCCACGCGGTTTTAACCAGGAGCGACAGGACAGGCACCACATAAACAATCCAGAACAGGCAAGGCCAGAACCACACGGGGGCTGTGCTGAGCAGAGACGGGGGGAGGGACCAGCAGGCGGCGCGGACGGGTGTTCACAGAGGGTGTGTATGTGCATGCAAGGAAGAAAGCTCATTCGGAGTCCCTGTAGTAGATGTCTACTCAAAGATTTAATCCCAAACTTGATCTCTCTGGGGGTGCACATTGAGCCACCCAAGAAGGCCACCTTGTGCGAAGGCTTGAGCGCCAAGGGCCCATACCTGCGTCTGCTTGCCGCTGTGCTTGGGGGACAAGCTCCCCGCGCTGTTGAGGCTGCTGACACTGCCGTGGGATGGTGTGGAGCGCAGGCTGTCTTTGGGCGGGGGGCTGGCGGGCAGGACGGGGACCGCGCCGGGAAACACAGTCTTCTTCCTCTTGGCGGGTGGGATGAGGGACGGGGGCAGGACAGAGGGCACGGGCTCCTTCTCGAGGGCGCGGTACACCAAGTGCATGGCCTGCAGGAGCAAGAGAGCATGGCGCTGGGGCACTACAGCATGACAGAGCCCGTGAGGACCCTGCCAAGCTGGCCAGATGGAAACAGCCTCTTCTGAAGAGCTATCTTCCTGTGTGTACCTTTCCAAGACATCTGTTTTCAGTTTTTAAAAAATGTTTTTTAAAGATAAGGTTGCATTCTGTTGTCCAGGCTGGAGTGCAGTGGTGTGACCATAGTCTGCCACAGCCTCAAACTCCTGGACTAAAGAGATCCTCACGCCTCATCCTCCCAAATAGCTGATGCCACCACTCAGGGCCCAAGACGTTTGCTGAGTTACCTAAGACTGAAACGAGCACAGAAAAACTTCATCTCTTGGCCACTTGGGGGGGGCACCAGCTCCAGGGCTGGTGACTTCCAAAGTCTAAACACCATGAGGAGGGCAGCCCATACGTCAAGGTATTCAGAAGCTGTTCTGGCTCCTCAGAAAGCTGAGACAGGAGGACTGCTCAAGCCCAGGAGTTCAAGTCTAGCCTGGGAAACCGAGGCCAGACCCCATCTCTACAAAAATTTTTTTTAAAAAGTCATGGAGATGTGGAAAATGACACCAAAGGGCATGCTATCCTCGCCAGGTGGGGAAAATAAACTCTGTCTAAAACAAGGGCTTGAAAGTCCACTTGAAAATGTAACAAAAACAAAGCAAAATCACAGCCCTACTCCCTTCAAGAGTATGCAAGTCATAACTGCACAGAGAACAGATCAGCAGTTCAGGTAAAATTCATGGTCACTGCAAAACTAGTATTAAATTCAGCTAGTGATAAAAGGACATGCAAAGTGACACCATTCTGAGACCCATTATAGATCAAGCTGAAGTGTGGCTGAAAAGATGAGAGACGATCCCAGCAAAAGAGAAGCGGAAGTCTAGGGCTCGTGGGGCCACGTGGGGACAGGCGGGTTCCGGTGCCTGCACACTCCCAGCCGGCTACCACGTCGCCAGGGCCATCCCCACGGGTCGCTCGACGACACAAGCGCAGGCAGAAGAAACACACGTAACACATGGTGAGGGGCTGGGGAGACATCAGTGTCTGGTAAGGGCAGTGGGTCCGCTGGGAGGTAAGTGACCGCTTCCTATGGCACGAATGTGCTGACGCCCTGACCCACATACTCAAAGAGGGGTACACAGTGAGTTTCACGTCACACGCATCTCACCACCAAAAGTCAAATAAGGCTGGACACAAGGGCTCACACCTGTAATTCTAACACTTTGGGAGGTGGAGGCAAGAGAACTGCCTAAGTCCAGGGGTTTAAGACCAGCCTGGGAAACTTGGCGAGACCTCATCTCTACAATTTAAATCAAAAAATTTAGTCGGGCATGGTGGTGTGAGCCTGTGGTTCCAGCTACTTGGAAGGCTGGGGTAGGAGAATTGCCTGAACCCAGCAGGTCGAGGCTGTGAGCATGCTGCTGCACTCCAGCTTGGGTGACATAAGACTCCGACTCAAAAAAAAAAATCAAGTCAATAATGGACAGCCAGTGACAACAGGGTGAGCGGAGAAGCCTAGAAAACACTCAAGGAAGAAAGGCAGACCAAAGCTCCCCCATGGGGAAGAACACCCTCGGCAGGGCACCAGGAGCATGTGAGCTGCAAGGGTCCCTCGCTTCCTCAGACTTCAGCAGACGACTTGTGTTCCAGGGCTCTGACCCATAAAGAAAGCAGAGTCATCACAAGTTCCCATTCACACGTGCTGTCAAGTCACATTCTACATATGTCTACAGTCCCCAGGATAAAAGATGGCTACTGTCAGGTGTTCTACAACTTGGGAATTCCATACAATTAGCAGGTTGGTTGCGGGGGTTGGCTGGGGTTGGGCTGAACTCGATTACTATTTATTGAAGCATCATCCTTAACTGCAAGGGGCTACCATTCCACTTTGCGATTTAACGGAACGTGCAAGTGAGTAAATCCCAGTAATGGCAGAGAAAGGCCAAAGATGTGAGGGAAGGAATTGGAGGGAAATGTGGACCAGGAGGAGAAGTAGGAGGAGAAAGAGGACAAGGAGGACGAGGAAGAGAAAGAGGGGCAGTGCTATGGTTAGGAAGTTTGGATCCCTCCAGAATCCATGCTGAGTTGTCCCCATTGCAAAAATGCTAGGTGGGGCTTCTGGGCGGTGACAGGGCCACAAGGATCCACCCTCATGAGTGGGGTCAGGGCCTTAGGGAGGGCCTGAGGGACTCTGGTACTCCCTTTTTGGTCCTTTTGCCAGGTGAGGACACAGCTTCCCACCCTACCCCCTACCCCCCAAGAGGCTACAGCAGGAGGTACCGTCTTGGAAGCAGGGCAGGGGCCCATCCCAGACACTAAATCTGTTGGCATCTCCATCTCAGCCTTTCCAGTTTTCAGGACTGTACGCAACACACCTCTATGACATACGATTGCCCAGGCTTCGAAGCATGCTGTTACTGCAGCAGGAGCGGACTCAGACAAGAATGGGCTGGAAGAAGGGGGCGGGAAGCTGCAGGGGTATGGATGGCACCTACGGAAGACCCTTGCCCGACACACAGCTCCCTCGCTCCCAGGGAGGAGAGAAGGGTAGGCACCTGGGGCCCAACACAGACAAATGTCCATGGCTGGGGGTGGTCCCACATACCCACTGTCCAGCCCCAGTTGCGGATGGCCTACAAGTGGTGGTGCCCCCCACAGCCAGGATCACCCGACACCCAGATCCTGGTCCTAACTCCACACCCTCACTAACAGAAACCAGGGAGCCCTAGGAGGCAGCTGACAGGGGAGCACACAGGAGCAGCTGGGAGCACCCTGCTGGACCAAAGGGAAGAAAGAGCTCAGGGGACCAGGGGGTAAGGGGAGGGGTCGGGGGACTGGAGGAACTGGCAGGAAGGCACTCCCTAGGTCAAACTCACCGTGTCCCCAAGGGTTACAAACAGTGGAACTGAGGGCACAGCAATAAGGCCCCGAGGCCATAAACAAATCCTCCACACCAGAAGGCAACTGTGAAGGTGAGGGACAGAAGCTATAACAATAGCCACCAACCATTCCCTGACAAACCCAGGGAGTCTCCTGGGCAGACGCCAGCCCTTAAGTCATTCTCAAGGTCCCCATACAAGACAGCACAGAGGGGAAGAGTGGCTGCAGGAAGAAGCTCCATCCAGCCCCTTGCTGAGTCAACACCACACCAGGAAGCCACACGGACATCACGAGACCCGGGCGGGACTCCCAGCCCATGAAGAACCAGCAGCCGGGCCCACACTCAGGGACACACCACACAGCGCCTGTGCCCGTCAACACATCAGGCTGTGAGACACAAAGATGGAAGGAGGAGCTGCCCAGATGAGACGAAACCAAAGACCCAAGACAATGGTGTGACACATGGGCTGGCTGTCACAAGGGACGTTTGGGAACAGTTGGTAAAATCTGAGTAATGTTCTAGATTAGATCACAGATAATGTAATAAGAGATCAACTAATCTAGAATCTAAGACACAGAGACTATGATTAAAATGTTACAAACAAATGAGGTGAAACCATGTGAGTTTCCTGGTTCCGAGAAGTCGTCTTTTTTTAGGAATACACACTGAAGCATTTCAGGGTGAAGAGGTATTGGGCCTGCAACTTAACTCTAAATGGTTCAAAGGAAAATTCTAGTGAGAGGAAGAAGGAGGAAAGGGAGGAGAGGGAGACACCAAACACAGCAAGCTGGTGACACTGGGGAATGCAGGTAAACAGTGCTCGGAAAACTCTCCCAACTACAGGCCAGGCCTCACTCTCCAGAGGCTTGGGGCCACGGGTTTCAGACTGTTTTGGATTTGGAATACGTGCATACCAGTTCAGCATCCCTGATCTAAAAAGTCATAGTCTGAAACCCTCCAATGAGCACTTCCTTTGAGTCTCACGCTGGTGCTCAGAAGGTTTCAGACTCCTCAGGAGCATTTTGGATTTGGGATTTTTCAGATCAGGGATGGTAAACTTGGACTGAGACTTATCTATATATTCAGAATTATGCCAAAATAAGCACTTTTTCTAAAAACTAGAGAAGAAACATGAACGAGACAGAAGCCCCCCAGGAGCTGCGTATGTCCCTCCTTCGCAGGGTGGGAAGGACAGTGGGCCTACCACAGCGAACTCGTCCCGGTCCAGGTGCCCATCCTTGTCAATGTCACTGAGGTCCCAGACCTGCATGGGAGAGAACAACAGGGATCACTGGGGAGGAGAGGCCCAGGCCAGGGCGAGACCTGCCTGCAGAACTCAGGCTCTGAGTGTGGGGTATCCCCTGGGGCAGGGACAAGTCACCAAAATGTAATTAATACCAGCCTGTGGGTTCTCTGGCAAACCACCGTCAGTTTTCAGAGCCATGGGGTAGGCGTATAAATGCACAGGAGTGATGGCACGAATGTACGTGTGCACAGGAAACGAGGGCAGAGATGTGGGTAAGTGCAGAGGTCACAGGTACAAAGACACACACATGCATGGAGCATGGATGAACACATGCAAGGCGTGTACACACATAAATGAATGCATGCATAGCTACGGTGAGTGCACGGGACATGGGTGTATAGGTCATGGGTAAAAAGATGCACAGAAGCACAGATGAACACACACATACAGTGCACACATGGGCTGGTGGAGGACCACGAGAAAGGCAGATGGGAAGTGACCTTAGTTCCACAACCCCTGGAACCTGGGCAGAAAATTGACAAAACATGACCTTTCCTAGGCACGTCTCCCCCTTTTTTTGAGTGGGAGTCTCACTCTCACCCTGGCTGGAGTGCAGTGGCACGTTCACAGCCACTGCAGCCTCAACCTGCATGGCTCAGGTGATCCTTCTGCTTCAGTCTTCCAAGTAGCTGGAACTATAGGCGTGTACCACCACACCCAGCTAATTTTCTGATTTACTGTAGAGACAAGGTCTTGCCAAGTTGCCCAGGCTGGTCTCAACCAGTGGACCCTGACAATCCTCTTGCCTCTGCCTCCCAAAGTGCTGAGATGACAGGCGTGGGCCACTGTGCCCGGCCCCTTTCTCTTATTTCTGTAGAGAAAGGGTCTTACTACATTGTCTGGGCTGGTCTCAAACTCCTGGGTTCAAGCAATCCTCCTGCCTCAGTCTCCCAAAGTGCTGGGATTACAAGTTGAGCCACTGTGCCCGGCGCACTCCCTTGCTAATAAAACACGTTGTGCCACCATTGGTCTGTCTGCCAGTGATGGGGTGCATTGAGAGCCTGTCACCTCCCTTAGGCATTCTGTAAGGACTGCCATATAAACGTTCCCACCACCAGCCCACCAGTCCTGCCACGAGGACAGCTCATGCCTTGGGATGCTGTGGGTGGCCAGCATGGCTCCCCGCAACAGGGCTCTATCCACACCTCTCTCAGTGATGTGATGATGAAGGGACTTGAGGGATCCTCCACCAGTCACCCCGTTTCAAGTAAAGGATGGAGACAGGCCATCTCAGGCACACCCACACCAAGCCAGCGTGTGCCAATGTGCCTCACAGGTTCCACTGGGACTTGTGAGAATGGCATTAGGTGAGTCAGGGCAGTCTGAATTGGCACCTCTCTCCAGGGTCTACTAGAGGTCAGGAGTGAGACCCGCCTGGGGATGGGGGCTGGCGGGAGCCACACATGGGCCCAGCTCCAGGTCCCCCTAGTCAGACAACCACTATCCTCTCTGCGTCCAGATAGGAAACTCAGAACACACAGGCAGCAGGGACGAGGCTGTGCACACGGCACCCCATGGGCCCACTCCCCCTTGTCAGGGCAACAGGAAGCTGCATCCAGAATACCTACGCTTGTAGGCAGGCAGAGGGAAAAGGCTCTAGTGTCTAACAGCTCAGCAGGGTGATCATGACCAACACCAGTATCTTCAAAATTGCTGGAAGAGCCAGGTACAGTGGCTCATGCCTGTAATTCCAGCACTTTGAGGGGCCCAAGGCAGAGGGTCACTTGAGCCAGGTGTTCTAGACCAGCTGGGCAACACAGTGAGAGCTCGTCTCTACAAAAGATAAAAGAATTAGCCAGGTGGGGTGGTCCCTGTAGTCCCAGCTCCTCAGAGGCTGAGGCGGGAGGATCACTTGCGCCCAACAGGTTGAGGCTTCAGTGAGCTGTCATTGTGTCACTGCACTCCAGCCTGAGTGACAGCCAGAGTCTGATTCAAAAATAATAATAACTATTGCTATATTATTATAAAACAAGGAGAGAAACAAAGAGGCACAGATATACACTCCTACACTTGGCACGCGGGATTGCCCAAAGCAACCCCAGGCCCCGGCAGTGAATTCACGTCTGAATTGGCCTATCCATCTGCAAAATGGAGGGACCCTGGCACCTTCCCCACAGGCTGGGGAAACCCTGGAGCCAATCCACCCATAGCCCATGGGAAGCCTGACAGTGCAGGGCTGTGCACCAAGTAGGACTCTACCATGCAGCTGTGGGTAGGAGGACATGCCACCCAGACACAGCAGCAGAGTGGATGCAGAAGAGCCAACAAGGCCACTCACCCTGCCCAGGACATCGAGAGGTAGCTTGGAGTTCATGAGAACAGGCTTGACCTTGTCTCCAGAGAGCAGACCATTGACGGGCAAGAGGCTCTCAAAAATCCCATCAAACTTGGCCTTTTCCTCCACCTAGTGGGACAGAAACAGCGGTGAGAACAGCGTGCTGTGGACATACCCAACAAGCCCCGCCTCATGCCGAGTGCAGGTGGCTGCAGGCCCACAAGGCCCTCGACCAGGCGCACACGGGGTTTCCGAGCAATCTGGCCCTGCTGACGGTGAGGGCCTCCAAGGAAGCAGCTCTCTGGCAGTCTCAGATCCAGGGCTCCACCCTGATCAACAGAAGGGAGGATGGCCTGGGTCTCCCTCTGCCCCAGCTGCTGGCTGCATGGGGCAGGGCCCAATGGCGAGGTGGTATCTTTATAGGAAAACAGCGATCACTCCCACCCACCCAAGGAGCCACTAATTGCCAGAGAGATGACAGGAACAGACATCTGTTCTGGCAAATGATAATCCAAGTCAACTTTAAGCACAGGAGGTCCTCTGTTTCTTTTTTTGAGTCTAGGTCTCGCTCTATTGCCCCGGCTGGAGTGCGGTGACATGATCACGGCTCACCATCAATCTTCTGGGCTGAGGTGATCCCCTACCTCAGTCTATCAAGTAGCTGGACTACAGGCACCACCATGCCAGGCTCAATTGTTTTGATTTTTTATAGAGATGCAGTCTTGCCAAGTTGCCCAGGCTAGCCTCAAACTCCTGGGTTCAAGCGATCCTCCCACCTCAGCTTCCCAAAGTCCTGGGATTACAGGCATGAGCCACCACATCCGGCCAGTCCTCTCTTTCTAACAGTCAAAATAAACAGATAATGAAAGCACCTGAGGAACAGCAGGAAGGTCCCGGCAGGATTCGCAATGCAGAGCTGCACTGCTGCTTCTGAAAGGCAAAACGCAGGCAGGCAGTGCAAAAGGGGCGCCGGCGGGACGGGTCCAGGCGGTGGCTTCCAGTCTGCCCTCCAACAGAAATAAGGCCCACGGCGAGTGGACCCCTCCCACCCGCCTGGCCACACGCCGGAGCTGCCAGGAGTGTGAAGGAAACCCCTAAGCAAGGGTCCATCGACAGACGGGCAGACGAGCAAAATGAGATGGCTCCACAGGATGGAATGTGCTTCGGCCACAGAAGAAGTGCTGACACACCTACAACATGGGTGGGCCTTACAGACACTGTGCTCAGTGAGATAAGCCAGACACAAAGGGACGAGCGCTGCAGAGCCCCTAGAGTCGTTAAACTCAGAGACAGAAAGCAGAATGGCGGGTGTTTCCTGGGCACAGTCTCGGTTGGGAAGATGAGAGAGTTTCTGGGGATGATGGTGGTGATGGTTGCACAACCAGTGAAAGCACTTAACATTACTGCACTGTATGCCCGGAAATGTGTAGGATGGTACATTCTATGCAGTGTGTATTTTACCACAGCACAAAATTTATATTTTTTTTCTTTTAGAAAGCAGGATTTATTGAGAGGATAGGAAAGCTCCCACGGTGGGAGGGGACTCGAGGGGGTTGCCCAAATTTTACACTTTTTAAGAGCAAAGGCTGGGAATGGTGGCCTATAATCCTAGCACTTTGGGAGGCTAAAATGGGAGGATTACTTGAGTCCAGGAGTTTGAGACCAGCCTGGGAAACACAGGGAGACCTTGTCTCAACAACAACAACAAAAAATTAGCCGGGTATGGTGGCATGCACCTGTAGTCCCAGCTACTCGGGAGGCTGAGGCAGAAGGATTGCCTGAACCCAGGAGGTAGAGGCTGTGGTGAACCATGAGCATGCCACTGTACTCCAGCCTGGAAGACAGAGTTAGACACTAACTCAAAAAAAAAAAAAAAAAAAGAGAGAGAAAGAGAGAACAAGACAGCATCCCCAATAAGAGAGCAGAGTTCCAGCAGTCACACACTAGCAGTTGTGTGTGCTGCAAGCCACACTTGAGGCCTCAGGCACCCAGGACCCTCCCACCCGCCAGGTGTGTTGAGCCTGTGCTCTTGAGGGGCCCAGGCATGTCCACAACGCAAACGCACTCGGCCCTCAGTCCACCCTGCCACAGTGCCTGGGTCCTCATCTGAGCCCCCTGTGCGAGGCCTGGCAGGTCCCTCAGCCCGCAGCTCTCCCAGGGAGGTCTGGACCATAGCCCTGTCGGGAAGCGCCATGACACTGTAAGAAACAGGCTCTCCTGGGCACGTGTCTGTGGCTGAGCAGCTCCTCCAAGGCCGCAGCGTGCTGGGGTCTCGGAAACCTCAAGGCGGGGGCTGCCGCTGGCCCAGCGCTTGATGCAAGAGCGACACCACGTGGAGCCTATTGTGCCCTGTCCCTGCACAGGCGCCCCCCTCCATGGCCTCCCCACGAGGGGAACAAGTCAACCACAAGTCAACCACGTAAACACAGGACCAAAGCGCTTGCCTGGGGGAGCTTGTCCTTGTTTACATCAAGTGCCATTAACGTCAGGATTTAGGCTACATTAGAGACAGGGGAACGTGACAACCCTCTGAAAACTAACAGCGGCGAGCAGGCCACTTGTTATCTGGGGACATCTCCACCTCCCAGCTCACTTCCTTCAGGGGGATTCACCTATGAGAAGACATCTCTCATGCTTTCCTTCCTGGAAGCAGTACCACATCTTCCAGCCATGGGAACCTCCATCTTAAAAATAACACTGCCAGCTTTCACAAAGCAGTCACGTCAGGAGGAAAGCCTAACGATATGCAGACTGGCTGGAAACAGGGGAGAAAGTGGCGGACATGGGGTCTTCATGCCTGCAAGCGCTCACAGTTCCCTCCTGCAATAACCAACATGAGCACAAAAACCACAAAGCAAGATTCAAACTGAAGGCTTCTGAGAATCCCCTCCTAAAACTAGCTGTCCGAGTAGGCAATTCCTAGTCACAGTGAAGGGCCACAGCCTTTTCAGAAGCTATTCATTTGAAGACGTGTTTCGTCCAAATTCTGCAGCCCTCACACTGAGACAGAACAGATGACACGATCGGCCTGTAAAACATTCTGGACAACATCCTAAACAGCTGGGACAGTTCCACGTGGAGGACAGCCAAGGAGCTGTCCCTGTTCACTTACCCTCACAGCCCAGTGGGCCTCCGCGGAGGGCGGCGTGGCCATCAGAGGGCTGCTGGTGTCGTGCTGAGAAGAGAAAGAAACATTCCTTTGTGGCTGGTACGGAATTAAAATCCAGGAGAGCAGGTTTACTGGAAAGGATACACATTTCAGAGCACTTTCAAAATGGAGATGACCTCAGAAAGTTAAACAGAACTACCACATGACCCAGCAATTCCACTCCTAGGTACAGACTCAAAAATATGAACAGGTATCCAAACAAATCCTAGTGTGAATACTCATGGCAGCACTACTGACGGCAGCCAAAAATGGAAACATCCCAAATGTCCATCAATAGATGTATGGAGACAGAAGATGGGATATGACCCAGCTACAGAAAGGAATGCAGCCCTGACCCAGGCTATGGCACGATGAATCTCAGAAGCATAACGGTGAGTGAGAAAGGCCAGACACAAAAGGACATGTTACATTCTTCATTTATACGCGATGTCCAAAACACGCAAATTCATAGAGAGAAGTCAGAATAGTGGCTGCCAGAGACTGGAATTGTGCATTGTGATTACTAAATGGAGATGGGGTTATAGACCTAGACAGAGGTGATGGTTGTACGGCATTACAAATGTAAACGCCACTGAATTGTTTACTTTAAAATTGCTAATGTTACCTCATTTATTTATTTTTTTGAGTCAGGCTCTCTCTCACTCTGTTGCCCTGACTAGAGTGCAGTGGCATGATCATGGCTCACCATAGCCTTGACCTACTGGACTCAAACAATCCTCCTGCCTTAGCCTCCCAAGAAGCTGGGACTACAGGCACCACCATGCCTGGCTAATTTTTTTAATTTCTTTTGTAGAGACGAGGTCTTGCTGTATTCATCAAGCTGGTAAAATTGTTCATTTTAAATCAGGTGAATTTCATCTCAACAACAAAAAGAAGGTGAGAGAAAACATGGAACGATAGATATACAAACATACATATTATAAATATAATTATATATGTGTGTACACACACACACACACACACACACACACACACTAGGGAGGACCAAAAAAAACCCAGAATTATCTTTTTAAAGGGCAGGCCCCTGGTAATATAGGTTTCCCCTGCTAGATAAGTGTTCGAGGATCAGTGTACCAGCTAATGCTGTGAGAGGCAGTTTGGCTTCAGTGAGCAATTTTTTCTTGGAGATGCTTCCAACACATCTGTCCGTTTCATGATGGGTGATTTAAGAGTGTGCCTGCCCACACCACACGGAGTGCTTGGTAGTTTTCGACCAAAGAACGGCATGACCCCCATGCCCCGCCCTCCCTATCCACCCAATCCAGCCCCAAGTGACTTTTGTTTCCCCAGATGAAAAAAGTCTTCAAAGGGAAATGATTTGCCAACGTGGAAGAAGTGAAAAAAAAAAAAAACAGCAGGAGCACTAAAAGGCATCACAATGGACAAGTCCAAAAATTGTTTTGAGTGGTAGAAAAAGGATCCCCCTAGGTGTACTGCATCAAACAGAAAGTACTTTGAAGGTGACTGATGTTTAAACATGTAACAATACACAATTTTAAACAAATTAATTTTGGGTTTTTCTGGGTCCCCCCATATATACAGTGATAAATATATAAGAACATGCATGAGGGCCATGGACACTCACGAATTTGGGTGGCGGCATGCTCAAGTTCAGATTGCTCAAGGTGACTTCGTGGCCACTCTGCGCACATGCCACCAGTCTCAGTGCAACATAGAAGCCCTGCAAATCCAGAAAGGGAGGTGTAAATACCACAAGCCAACGAGGGAGGGGGCTGTCTCCAGTCGCGAGAGGATGGATAACACCTCAACAATGAAGACCATGCAAAGGCCACTGAGAGACAGGCTCACCCAGGGACGCCATTTAGGTGACGACGCCAAAACAGACATGTCCAGTCACATCCGGAACACTGTGAAATTTCAGATGCATTTCCCAAAATAATGGCCCCCAACATCTAGAAGATGCTAGACTGCATAAAGTAGTGGAGGTGACACCGCTTAAGACAATAAATGATGGACCAAATATGTGCTGAGTTCTTAAATGTGGTTTGAAACACAGTTGTCTGGGAATTTACATCTGTGGTTCCCTGGGACCTCCTCGACCTCACGGACTGGAACCCTTCTGTGCCCCCAGTGCCCCCCCACAGTTCAGACACCCAGAATCTGACCCAGCCATCAGTCACCTCCATTCCTCTCCACCTACCTCCCACCCTAGAGCCCCCACCCTCCTCTTGAGCCTCCAGACTCAGTAGACCTGAGGGTCACCTAATTTTAATTGCTCAACTGGCCCAAGAAAACAGGCAGTTTCAGAACTATTCTTCCAAGACAATAGTTCTGACAGGCCGTCTCAGGCAGGGCATGGGGGGCAGGAAGAAAGGGACTAAGTAAGCTCGGGAAACTTCAATACGCAGAGCCAACAGGCACCTTCCACAAATCCCCAGAATATCCACCCCCAGCCGTGCCCATGCATCTCAGGGAGGGAGCGACAGCGAAGACGGCCTTGCCCATGGTCTGGGCCATGCCCACAGCCCACCAGAAACCGCATCGCTTCCAAACCAGTTCAGGGCACGGCTGACAAACACAGCTCACGTCCACGACATAGAAAACCCCTCATAAGTGCAGAGTGAGCATCTCTCATCTGGAATGTCTGGGACCAGAGTGTGTGGGACTGTGGATGTCTCTGGTTTTTGAACAGTCTGCATTATCCTTAACAGTGCAGCATCCCTGCTGTGAAAATGCTGCAGTGAGCACTTCCTTCGAGTGCTGTGTCAGCACTCCAGAAGCTTTGGATTTTGGAGCACCCTGAATTTCCAATTTTTGGATTTGAGATGTTCAACTCACCCTGCAAAATTCTATTTACAGAACCTTCTTGAAATGACAAAATGACAGTGACGGAGAACTGACCAGAGCTTGCCAGCGGTTACAGTATAACTATCATGGGCCACAGGAAGGGGGGTTCTTTGGAGTGCTGGGACAGTCCTATATCCTGCCTGGGGGAGTTACACGAATCCATGCAAATGATAGAATTCCAAAGAACTGAGACACACAGCCTCAAAAACAGAGCATGTACACAACCGGGCCTTTAGTACTGCACCGACATCTACTTCCTGGCTCTGACCATGGTGCTGTAGTTATGAAAGAGGTTGTCACTGGGAAGCTGACAGAAGATATACAGGAACCCTCCAAACTAGTTATGCAATGTCCAGGAGAGTCTAGAATTCTTTCAAAATAAAGCACTTTGACAACACTTGAATCACACAGTATTAAAGACACGATGACCTGAGTGATGGCTCCAAGTGTCGTGCTACATCTGTGAGCTGTGTTTATGTCTATAACATTTGACAGCAGACACACGGGAAGGAGATGGGAGGCAGTTGGCCGGGGTGCTGACCCAGACCATCCCCTTGCCATGGGCATGTCTGAACATACCTGCTTGTCCAAGAACCCTTTCCCCTCGGGGTCGGCCAAGTCCCATATCTGCAGAAACACAAAAATGCTCGTGAGCATGCCTGGTAACCGCTGCCCAAGTGTCAGCACAACTAGCAATTACCACCCACACATGTCCGGGACCTACGCAGGGCCAAGCAGACAAGCAGTCTTGCAGGGCAAGAGTGACCATGCCGAGCTGTGCATCTGCCCAGGGGCATGCGGCAGGGCAGGGCCCAGAGAACATCCAGGTCACCTCAGCCCCACAGCCTGTGTTTCTGTGACATCCGATACCTCCAACATCAACTCCCACACTGTCAAGACTCCAACGAGCACTCAAGTCTTCTGTCTGCAACCACATGGTGCCAGTGGCCACCGTTATGGACAGTAAGGGCTGCAGAGGCTCACAGGCAGCAGGCTACGCCCAGAAGGCTGGCCCGGCTGCAGCGAGCTATGAGGCCCGCAAGGAAGAGCATAGCTGGCCTCCACGCACCTTCCCGAGGACGATGTCCGAGAGACCAGACTTCTTCAGAAACAGCGCCGCGTCACTCGCGCCGACCCTCCCTGTGTACGCTGGGTCGACCTGCGACAGTGAGAGTGAGACGACGCTGCAGCCACCGCAGCTGTGGGAGGAGCAACCCCCACCGGCTGCTGGCCAACAACCCCAAGAGCAGAGCAGACAGAGGCCACTTCTCACGGTGCCTACCAGCTTTCCAGTTCCTCACGCGCTAGATCAGCTAAAAGGACACGGGTCCGACTCACCTGCTTGTAGTAAGATTCATATAATGGATTTCCAGAGGGAATCTGTAAATAAAACCACAGATACTGGTCACAGGGGACATGCTCTCTTGAGGAAAAAATGCTGCCCCTTGTCATTACGAAGACCCACTAGTGAGAGTCCAAATGCATACACATCGTATTCTCCAGACAGAACTCGGTCATCTTCAGACAGATGATATGCTACTCGCCTCAGAAAAGTGCCCTCGAGCATCCTTAGTAAATCCTAGCCCCACTGTCGACCACTCTTCACCGAGCAATGGGATCTCCGCTCACTCAGGAGCGCAGGGCACCAAGACGATCCTCCAGAGGGTTCTCTGGCACCAGCACAGAGAAGGAGCTTCTTGCATGTCATCAAGCACCAGGAGAAGGCTTCCAACGACGGGTCCCTGGCTGGGGCTCGCCCGCCCCCATCCCGTGGTCCTCCTCCAGCTGCCTGAGTGACGGCTCAGAAACTGGCCCTGCAGGAAAGCCGGCCACTGACAGCAGGAGGGTCAAGGTCCTCAGCCCAGCACTAAAGACCTGCCACGTCCAGCCCTGCAGAGCCCGAAGACACCAAAGACACCACCGTTACGAGGAGGTCACAGTCTCAGCCAGGGTCACAAGGTCACTTGAGGCCACACCCAGACCAGACTGGCCAGCACAAGTCCACACTCTCCCCGTTGAGCTCAGCACCTCTCCTCCCAGTCTCACAGGACTGTGGTGGGGAAGAGGGCCTGGGGAGTGTGCCCCGCGCCCAAGGGGGTATGAGCAGTCACTGGTATCCTGGCTAGCAGGGCTGCTGTCTTATTCCGCGATGTGAACAGCAGCACAAAACATCACTAACTCAACCTGCGACACAAAGCGAAGAATGTACAATGGCGCCCACCTACGCAGAATGCGTGTGGGAACAGCGACAGGGCAAGGAGCCTGGAGACAAGAAGATGGCCAAGAGGCAGACTGCAGGGTCCACAGAAAACCTCCCAGAGTGCTGTCAGGTGGCTCCTCGTGACCAGTGAAACCAGACCTAGGCTCCTTCCAGCTGTGGCCCCTGGCCCTGAGCCAACATCACCCAACACATGCACACTCGATGGAAGGGGCCATCTCCAGCCAGAGGTGATGTCCGGGTCATGGGCTTGGGGACATCAGCGCCTGCAGACACGCAAAGACCTGGAAGTGCAGAGAGAAACACCAAGACAAAAGGAAGCAGCCGAGTTCTGGGGCGGGAGAGTCAGACAGAAGAAAGAGGGAGGAGAAAGGGGAAGACGGAAAAGGCAGGGAAACCAGGGGCATAAGACAGGGCAGGACGGGCAGCACATGAGAGCCCAAGACCCAAAGAGAGGAACAGGCGGAGATGAGCCTGACCGGCTGCTCCCTTGAGTCCGCTGACCCTGCTGGATGTGGTCGTGGGGGAGTGGCCCAGGAAGGCCTGGGAGCAGCCACTACCCTGGCTCCACTGACCTCATGAGGGGATGGTGTGCGGCCGTCATACCTGCATGACCTCCTGGGCCTGACACTCCAGTGTGTTCCCAAACGCCTCCCCAGAGGAACAGGGTCAAGAAAGGCAGCGGCAGACTGTTGCATCAGCCAGTAAGGGTGACAGCACCGGTCCAGACAGAACATTCCCGCCATTGGCTCACAGGCCCCAGAGGGTCCACTTTTGACCAGAGGGGACTTCCCACGAGCTTCAGGGTACAGGTCTAACCCGTCTTCAGTGGGTTAAAGGTCCCGTGGAAAGCAAGAGAAGGAGGTTTCCAAGGTATGACAACCCCCGTGGAAAGGGCTGTGGTATCAGGGGCACACAGGGTCACGAATGATCTGTCTCCAGCCTCCCAAACGACCAAGAGTAAGGTCCATTACCAGGAGAGATGAGGCCCAGCCAGTCCAGCCGCAGACACACACAACTCAGCCTCAGCCTCTGCTGTGCGTGTTCAGGGACATCCACCAAGGCGGTGGGATCCCCAAAGACCCGCAGCCAATGGGAGACCTCAGGGTGCAGCTCACCGCCCTTCCTCCCCCGGGGTCCATAAGCGCGACCCAGGATGGCAGCCGCTGGGGGGATTTCACTGAATGACACCCAGCAGGCACTGCAGATACAGAAGCGAGAAGAAGGAAGAATACCAGACCTGAGCTACACTTCCTCCAGCCCCAGCCTCCCTGGGACAGTGGAGTCTCACCTGTAAGCTGCCCACCGATGTCACAGAGCTGAGGATACACGCTGCCAGTGCCACAAACTCCCTGATCAGGGTGGTCTGCATTGCTGGCCCACACACAGAGGCCTTGCCCCTCACAGCTGCTGGAAAGAGCCCACTGTGTGCTGAGAGCAACCACCCACGTCTGACCCCACAGAGAGCCCAAGGCAAAGGCCAGGGATTGGGAGGTGGACCCGGGCTGAGTTCCTGCTGAGGAAAACAGTACAGAGGTATGCAGTGAAGACGTTATTGGCAACTGCAGGAACTGCAGGGAGTGTAGGGTCCAGGGAATGCAGCAACGCTGCATGCTGTCCCAACCAGTCATGGCACTGAGGTGCCACGTGCCTGGGCAGCGACTGGGCTATGGACCTGCGAAGACAACCTGGGCGCAACAGCCGGGTGCTGGGCCACAGGCCAGCCTCACGTACGCAGTCGCTGGGAAAATGCACATCCATGATCACGTGATGGTGCATTCTACTACACAGAAGAGGTAAAAATGCAAGGCTCTGTCTGAGCACATAAGTCAGCTCAGGAACCCATGTTCCCAATGACCTGCCATTTTCCCCAGGAAGGCTGAGAACTCGTGACAGCTGTGTGTGTCAACGCTGCCAAGTCTGCAGGAAGTTAGGCCCATACCACTAAGGCACAGCCCGGGCCGAGTTCCTACTGAGGCAAAGAAGCTGATGTAAGACACAGTCCAGAGGCGTGCTTGCTGGCTGACCCTTGCACTTTTGCGGTACCCCCAGCGGGCCTGACAACCAGCATTCCACATGTCTCCAGCCCTCCCGGGGCTGCCCCTAGACTGCAGTGAGGACACCCCGCTCAGTCCCGTGGCACGCAGGATGGAGATTCAACTCACACACTCAAGAGGCCCGAGGACAACACTGGGGCACATCAGCCTCCTGGGAGCAGGCAGACAGCTCTCTCCAGCACCCAGCGGAGGCCTCACGCCAGAGGAGGCAACCACAGCGAGGACAGAGACTTGCGGAGTGAGAAGGAGCTTCTCTAAAGCACAAAGAAAAGGACGGATGTCCCAATGAAAAGTGAGAAAATGAGAGGAATGCCACTCAAAAGGAAGAGGGGCAGTAAGGGTGGGGGAAGTGCTCTGGCTCTCTGGGATCTAAGTCTCAGAAAACAAGTGAGGTGCCGGCGCATGCCACCAGGGTGGCGAAGTCACAGACAGCTGCCGTGCAGGCTGGAAAAGGTGCCAACTCACATCCGGGGCCCTGCTGGTGGAGCATGAACCAACCCAGCCTTTCTGTGGGGCAATGCAGGCGCAAAAGTCCACCCCTCATACACCGGTCCAGTGAGACTCCTACCAAACTCCAGCAAGATTCTTGTCTCTTTGAAGTGAGGTCTCACTTTGTTGTCTAGGCTGGACTTGAATTCCTGGGCTTAAGTGATCCCTCTGTCTTGGCCCCAAGTCCCTGGGACTGAGGATGTTTTGTGATACAGATGAAATTATTCTAAAATACTGAAGAGGCCAAAAAAAATGTATACATATTTTAAGAGATGCTATCTATGTATTACTTTCTGAAGTCGAATTGAATTACAGTAGCAATGTGTAGTATGACGCTCACTCAAAAGATGGTGTTAATCAAACAAAAGCTAGTGTCGACACGCAGCAGGCAAGGCAGTCAAAGAAAATGGCGGAAGCACGGCTGTTGTTCAAGGAGCGCAGGACCATTTTGAAGTGTTTTTCGAAATTCGAGAACATTGTGGAAGTACACTGACAACGGGGGTGTGAGTAGAAACAGAGCCTCCGACACACCTGGCATCTACATGCATCCATAATGAGTTTGAGACGTGTGGTCCTGTGTGTGGCGAGCACAAGGCGGGGATCCAGGAGGCCTCGCTCAGCAGCAAGTTCTGTTTCTTCTGCTGTGGTGTTGGAGCAGCTTACACGCCTGCCACGCAAGTCTACCAAACAGCGTGCATGCGAGATAGTGGTTGGCAGAACAAGCACACAATGCACACTGAAAATAGCATGGAACGTGCTCGTCCCAAAATGACCGCTTGCACCAAATGAAGACGGCCCTGACGGAAGGGTGCAGCACGGAGTGTGGCTCTAAGCATGGCACAGGGAAGGAGGAGTCTGTGGGGAAAACAGCTTGGTCTGATAAAGCACGGTCTAAATGGGATGGAACAGTGTAGTTGAGTTTCCCCCACATTCTCCTGACTCAACACACCTTGGCTTCTACCTGTGGGGACCTTAAAGGATGTGGTGTGCCACAGAAAACCAGCCACACTGGCGGTACTTCGGGAAGACTCGAAACAGCATGCGCTGTAATAAAAGCAGACACTTTGGTCAACATGCTAGTGTTGACGTGTTCGTTGTAATCAAAAGCGTCTGGATGCTGACGGTAATCACTCTAAGTACCTCTTGTAATTGCACAAGTCAAATGTGACTTGTACGCATTGTCTGTTATCGGTATATATTGAGTATTACAACTTTAATACAGTTGTTTCCTTTCTTAAACCACGTACACACATTTTCAGCACCCTGTGTATATACAGAAAGGCAGAGGAACTAAAACCACTAAAGCAATTTAAAAAAGAGGAAGTGGGAGGAATCAGGCTCCCTGACTGCAAGACACACTCCACAGTACAGTAACTGAGATAGTGCAGTGCCAGGAGGGGCAGACACAGCCATGGACAGATAGCGGGGACCTCAGAAGCAGACCCACTCAGACAAGTCAGTGGGCCCTTTGACAAGGGTGCAAAGGCACTGAGAAGGAAGGACAGGCTTTCAGCGATCAGTGCTAAGTGGCCAACGTCTACGAAGAGGAGCCCAACTTAAGTCTCACACCTCATACTAATCAACGCAATGCAAACCACAGTCTCAAACGCCACACACAA